TGATACGATTTAAGTGATTATGGATCAATTGACAAAGACCGCCCATTTCCAACCATGCAGATGACATACCGAATAGAGCAATTTGCTACTCTATACATCCAAGAAAGAGTCAGACTCCATGGTGTCCTTGTGTTTATCGTCTCCGATCGAGACCCGAGATTTTTGTTCAACTTCTGAAAAAGTTTAAACAAATTGATAGGAGCCCGACTTTACTGCTTTTCACCTATAGACCAACGGACAATCTGAGTATACCATTTATGCACTTGAATATATTCTACGCGAATGTGTATTAGAATTTCAGGGAACTGAGATAAATATTTGCCCCTAATTGAATATTGGTTCAATTTAGGAAGAAAGGAAAACTGAAGCCCAGATACATTGGTTTATATGAGATCGTCAAGAGAGTGAGGGAAATTTCTTATGAATTAAAATTACCATCCAACTTGGAAAGAATGCATGACATCTTTCATGTATCGAATTTGGGGAAATACATACCTAATCATACCCATGTTATAGACGAATTGCCAATTGATCTGTAACTAAACATCACTATATAAGAACTTCTTGTAAAAATTTTAGCCCTTGATATAATATAGATATTATGGAGAAGTGAGGCTATTGAGGAAGCAACTTGGGAAAGAAAAAGATGGAATGGGGAGAAAATATCCCAACTTATTCAACTAAATTTTGAGGACAAAATTTTTATAAGGAGTGATAACCTAAGAATAGCTAAACCAAGAGAGGGGGTGAATTGGTTGTAAAAAAAAATTCAAAAAAAAATCCAAATTTAACAAATTTGGTAGCAAATACGTTAATGAAACAAATGTGCGCAAATACGAAAGCAATAGGTAGAAGGGAAGAAAATGTGCAAATGATGTAATTGTTGAGGTTCGATCCCAACCAACGATCTACGTCCTCCATTACTAAGCTTTCTGTCACGAGCAATGTCTTTGTCACTATATTGATTGACTTATGGTACAATTCAACCATCTACAAAGCTTTCGGTGAAATATAATCACGTAGCACCGATACTTATACAATATAGAGTTTTATGGGACCTCTATATGAGCCACAGTTTAAAAGAGTAACGAGCTTATAATTTGAACTTCTTTCATAATAAATGATATAATCAAATTAAGTACTAAAAGAGAAGTAGGCTAACACTTTAATGAATAACAATAAATGAAGATCAAGTGTTAGGTAAGAAAAACTTGGATGAGAACAATGATTTCCAAAAGTTAATTCAATCAAAAGTTTTTCAAAATAAATAATTTAACGAAGGTGAAGATGAACAAAGAGTGTAATAATTTTACTCAAAAGTATCTCTTTATAATGCTCTTGAAAGTCCTATAAAGAATGCAAAATGAGATGGTATTTATAGCAGTTAAAACGCCAAAAGTTTTGGAAAATCGGACGTCCGCTTTTGAGCCGACACTGACCTATCGTTGTAAGTCAGAATTTTCAAACGGTTAAAAAATTGAACTATTGGATGAACTGGATGTCCGCTTAGACAATGTTTTCCTGGATTTTTCTTTCTTTGATTGTTTTGAAAAATGTAGACTTTTGAAGGACCTTTTTATTTAATTTTTCAAGGTAAGTAACATTTGTTAAGAGATTTAAAAATATCGGGTTGAAGTTCTTACCTTTTGAGATAATAATTTTTATGCAAGTATAGTTATGAACTAATTTTTCTCGTGCATAAAGATGATTAATCTGGCATCCATGCTCGGCTTCCATCTCGATTCCGAGTCTTTGAAAGAGACCTTTTTGTCTTTAAATGATCAATTTTGTCACAATAGCTATATCTTCTATGTTACAAATACTTAACATAAGTTAAGCACCGGTACTTAGGTAATCATTT